CGGGTCGCCGGAAGCGACCCAAAATTCGCGAAAATTTGGCCGGGTTATGCCCCGAGAGCTCTGAGCGAAGTTTTCGGCTTTGCCTCTTTGCTCTCTGTCTTTCGGTCTGTCTGCCTCTCTGCCTCTTTGTCTCTCTGTCTCTCTATCTTGCTCTCCCTCTCTCTCTGTCTCTCTGTCTCTGTGTTTTTGTGCGTCTCTGTGTCTTTGTGTCCTTGTGTGTCTCTGTGTCTCTGTGTCTCTGTGTCTCTCTGTCTCTGTCTCTTTGTGTTCTTCTCTCTCTCTCTCTCTCTTTCTATCTCTCTCTCTCTCTCTCCCTCCCTCTCTTTCTTTCTGTCTCTCTGTTTCTTTGTTTCTCTGTCTCTCTGTTTCTTTGCCTCTTTGTCTGCTTTTCTGTCTGTTTGTTTGTTTCTATCTGTCTGTCTGTTTTGTCTGTTTGTGTGTTTCTGTCTGTTTGTCTGTCTGTGTGTTTATGTCTGTCTGTTTGTTTGTTTTTGTTTGGGTGTCTGTTTGTTTTTGTCTTTCTTCGTTTCTGTCTTGCTTTATTTGTCTCTTTTTGTCTTTGTTTGTTGTTTGTTTTTGTTTGTGTGTTGTTGGTTTTTGTTTTTCTCGGTTTGTTTTTGTCTTTTTGTTTTTGTTTGTTTTGTTTTTTGTTTGCTTGTTTTGTTTTTTGTTTGTTTATTTTATTTGTTTTTGTTTTGTTGGTGTTTGGTTTTATTTGTTTTTTTGTTTTTATTTGTCTTTGTTTGTCTTTATTTGTGTTTGTTTATTTGTTTATTATTTTTTTTGTTGTTTATTGTTTGTTGAATTTGTGTTTTTGTTTGTTTTGTTTGTTTTTTTGTTGTTTGTTTTTGTTTGGTTGATTGATGTTGTTGGTTGTTTTTGTTTGGTTGATTGATATTGTTTTTTGTTGATTTTGTTTGATTGAATTTTGTTTGTTTTTGTTAATTTTTGTTCGTATTTATTATGTTTGTTTATTTTTGTTTGTGTTTGTTTATTTTTGTTTATGTATATTTATGTTTGTTTGTTTTATTTTCTTCTTTTTGTTTTTTGTTTGGTGTTGTTATGATTTGCTATTTTTCTGTTTATATTTAAAAAAAATAAATTTATTTAATTAATCGATTAATTAAAATAGATTTGAATAAAAGAAATTAAAAAATAAATAAAATAATAATTAGAAATATTTGAAATACAAATTATAAAATAATAAATGTATTAAATTATTATAGTTTAAGAAATTATAATTTAAATTAATCTAAATACTATTTTAAATTTATATATTTTTGATAAATTTTGTTGTTTGTTAATTGTTGCATTATTTTAAATAAACTTAAATTAATATTTGAAAAAAAAATATCTCTTATTAAATCCTAAATAACGAATTGTATTAATATAATTATTATGAATATGCTATAATATAGGTGATAATATATAATATAAATATTCCTAAATACTTAGCCTCGCAAATCATTTTCGTCTCTTTACAAAAAATACTAATTATATGTAATTGCTGGAAAGAATTGGCCGAATGAACGGAATCTCGTCCTATCTCTTTCTTATTTGTATTTAAGGATTTTTTATTGATTAATATGGTAAAGGCATTCTATCTCCTATTCCCACTCCTCTGTTCGTTCGGGAGTGTTTATGAGACAAAGGAAGAGGAATTGTGTGGAAGGATGTGGTTAGCTGGGGTGTAAGGAATAGATCTATAAGTGAGACGGTGTAATGTTTGGGATCTGAACCTTTCTGTAATAGTGGTTTATCTCTAAGATTGATGGTGTTATTCCTTTTTCTGTCGTGTATTGAAGATTGTATGATGGACGAAGGAATGGACGGAGGGAATGAATGAGCGGATTTCTTTTCTCTGTATTACCTATCTCTTGGTGGGAAGGTAAGGATTCTAGAATTTATAATAATTTTAAGTTTGAAAAAATAAAAATATAATTATAATAATTATTGATTTTATTTATAATTATTGGAAAGAATTGGCTAGCGGGTGAGAGAAAGAGAAGTCGAATGAACAAATTAAATATTATGAAGGAATGGATTCTGAATTGGAATATTTTCTTTTTTAATGATTATAGAGCTTATAATAATTCAAAATTTGAAAATAATAAAAATAAGATTATAAAAAACATAAATTCCAATTAGTAAAAATTCATTAAAAATATATATATATATAATATTTAAAACATATATAATTAAGATAAATAATAACCAAAATCAAATAATAATCATAATAAAATTAAATAAGTAAATAAATAGGAAAGACAAAATATAACTAAAAGATGTAGTTTTATTTGTAATTGCTAGAAAGAATTGGCTAATGGGTGAGTGAGTGGGATATAGTAGAGAGAATAAATCATTCTATAATAATAAAAAATATTTAAGATTATTGATATATGAAAGGAAAGGAAAGATTAACCGTTATAACGAAGAGATAAGGAATGAAATGGTTGTATATCATTGGTTATTTATCTTTGTCTTTGTTTTTGGTGTTGTTTGGATATTCTATCATTAATGATTTAATGAATGGGATAGGAGATTATAGTAAATAATGAATTCATATTAATTTTGATATGTTTTAGATAAGAAAATATATTTCAATAGATTAATTATTATACCGAAGAGATAAGGAATAAATTTATATACGGCATATCTTTATAATTCAGAGATGAAAGGGAAGGAGAGAAATTGAATAGGATCTCGTCCTCAGATCCTAGCCCTCGAATATAAAGAATAAAGGAAAGAAACAAACAATAAAATAATAAATCCGGGATAATTCATAATAAAAAATATATATTTTCCGAATCCTTATATCACTATCTTTTTCATCTTCAAAATATTCATTCTCTTAATTAATTGTAAACGCTTCGCGTTGCCCGCCTCGGCCCAGCCTAGTTTGAGGGAAGGGTCAGGAACACCGAAATCCAGTGTTGGGAAGGCCCGAATCCTACTGAAAGCTTGTGACCGCACCAGTTCGCCCGTGCTAGTTCGATGTTCGGAAGCCGTCCTGCTCGGAAGGTTTGAAATCCAAAACCAAGATTATCTTAGCTGCTCAGTGCCCTTGGAAAAAAAAAGGACCTCTTTCTGGGGATGAGCATTTTTAGTGGGGCTTGGCCTCCATAAAAAGGGGAACAATAGTTGGTGTCACTGAACAACCAAGACCAACTTTGGGTGTTTGGGCACCTCCATTTCACGTGGCTGGCGGCTTGCCATGACATACATTTCTTGCTCGGTTGCTCAGCCCAAGACAGGTACATGGTGGGAATACAAACCTCCATTTGCTTAAGTACCCCGGAAAAATATCCCCAATAGACACACTAGTAGGCGGGCTGAGGGACTGGGCCTGAGGCTAGTCTCAGGCTAGCATACCTTGAGACGCCGAAGGGGCTGGGCCTGCTGGATGACTTGAGCCTAGTGGCTGGCATGCGCTGAGATGCGCCGGGGCCTCGGCTGGGTGGTTGGGCTGGGCCTGAAGCTAGTCTCAGTCACGAGGCTGCGAAGCCATGGGTGGGTTGCTGGCTGCCGGGCAGCCGGATTACGTTGCTGGTTGCGCCTGGAACTTGGGCTGGGCTGAGCTGTGCTTGGGCTTGGGCTGGGCTGAGCTGTGCTTGGGCGGATTGCTGGATGGGCAAGGCCTGTTTCATACACACTTGGGCCTGAGGCTAGGTGCTGAGGCCAGTCGCAGACACGTAAGACACGCCAACGTTAGACAGGCTTAGTAGCTGGCGTAGCTTGAGATTAGTCTCAGACACGAGGCCTGACCTTGGCACGCTGGGCTGAGCCTGCTGGTGGGCTGGGAGCTGGGGCCTGGGCTGGGCAGGGTGGGTTGCTGGCTGCCGGGCAGCCGGACTTTGGGCTGGGCTGAGCTGTGCTTGGGCGGGTTGCTGGATGGGCAAGGCCTGTTGCATACACACTTGGGCCTGAGGTTGGGTGGCGAGTTGCTGGCTGGGCTGGGCCTGAGGTCAGTCGCAGACACGTGCTAGTAGGCGGGCTGAGGGACTGGGCCTGAGGCTAGTTTCAGGCTGGCATACTTTGAGACCAGTCTCAGACTGCGCCGAGGGGGCTGGGGCTGGATGACTTGGGGCCAGACGCGACGAGGAGGTCAAGGCCTGGTCAGGTTGGGCTGGGCAGCCGGACTGAGGGGCTGGGGCACGTCAGACAGGCTTAGTAGCTGGCGTAGCTTGAAACCATTTTATAGAGACGTGAGATTGGTCGTTGGCCTGAGGCCAGTCTCAGACACGTTAGACAAACCTGGCTTGGGCGGGTTGCTGGTTGGGCTAGGCCTGTTTCAGACAAGCTTGGGGTTGGGCTGGGCCTGAGCCTAGTCTCAGACACGTCAGACAGGCCTGGCCAGCAGGAGGTCATGTTTTTCAGGACAAAAAAGCAATTTTTTGGTGTTTCGCAATTGTCAGCACATTTTCGACAAAAATGGACCCATGGAGCTAGATGCCGACGAACCCCAAAAATTTCAAGGCCCGCCGGACAGGATTTTGGGCCAGCCGACATGGGGGGGGGGGTGGGGGGGGGGCGGCCTGGCAAAATTTTGGTTGGGGAGGGGGTTGGGGGAGGGGAAAAGCGAAGATTCTCTTTGGAGAAGAGATCTGAGCGCCCTTTGGCCCTTTGGGGCCGAGGCGAATTTTACTACCCATTTAAAGCCATAACGAGGAAAACAATTACAAAAAAAGCAAACCAAATCCGGGATTAAGTAACGTATTCACCCTTGAAGTCTAAAGGTTCAACCCCACCTTTTAGAGAATATTTAAACCCAAAAATAAATTGGACTATGAATCTCTAAAAAAAATAAAAAACATGACGAATTAAATACCGAGGAAAAAAAAAACAAATTCCTTCAATCCCTTACCCAAATAAAAATATATAAGTAATTAAACAAAACATATATATTCCAACAATTAATTATTATAAATGTATTTATTATTCTCGATAATTGTTTCAATCATTTTATTTATGTTCTTTAATTTTCTATGTTTTATTAATATCTTCAAATATCTCGATTTAAAAAATAAATAAATTATATTACCTATTATATGGTAAATTATTAATCTTTTTAATATCAATTACAATTAACCTCAATAAACCTCTATCAAACATTTAAAAAAACATTTTGCTTTAACTAATTCATAAATAATTATATATAAAGCATAACCTATTATATATATCTAAATTCAAAAATAATATATATTATATTTCAAATATAATTTAAACATCAATTATAAATAAGTATATAATAAAATAACAAAATATTAAATACTTAAATAATATATATATAAATAAAAATTAATAAACATAAACCCAAATAATATAAATACATTAAATCAAAACTTAGCCTCTATCTCTATAGAGGTTAAAACCGGCCAATAATCATGTAACAAACCACATCACTCTTCATGTAAATATTTATGTAAACAAAAACAGGTCTTAAAGAAACACGTAAAATATCATATAAACAATATATGCCTCAATATTGGAAGTTGGAAGCTATATCATTTGCCATGTAACAGGCCTAAACAGACAGAAAAGGCGCACAATCAGACAAGCCAATGGCAAAACATTGGCAAAAAGAAGGTAAGGCTCCAATGCGCCCCTCCCATCTCCATAGCAAGCGCCCAAGGTGTTGATTGAATGATCTTTGTTAAATCCTTAGCAGCTACCGTGCGAATGTTAGGAGGCCAAACATCTTAGGTCTTAAACACGTGGTTGGTAAGCCTAAGCATGCGTGAGCAGAAGCAAGGGCAATTCCTGAGCATGCTCCAATGTCTCCGAACGGTTCAGAACAGTTCAGGGTATGATGTTGCAATCCCTCCTGAACGGTTCAGCACGGTTCAGGGCATGCTGCTTGCAATTCTTCCTGAACGGTTCAGAACGGTTCAGGGTATGCTGCTGCCATGACTGCTGAACGGTTCAGAACGGTTCATACTATGATGCTGCAATCCCTCCTGAACGGTTCAGAACGGTTCCTGGGAAGCTTGAGTGACGAACGGTTCAGAACGGTTCAGAACGGTTCTGAACTATACGCCTGCTCTGTGCGCTGCTTGCTAGATGGGCTCCAGAACGGTTCAGAACGGTTCAGGGGCATGGGTTCCAATGCCTCCGGAACGGTTCAGAACGGTTCAGGGGCACGCGTTCCACTGCTTTCGGAACGGCTCAGAACGGTTCAGGGGCATGCAGTTTGGTTGCCACCGTTCCTCGGAACGGTTCGCGAGCACGCGGCTGGCGGTTCCTAGCCCTAGGTAAAAGGTCAGGCCGGCATAGGAACATCGAAAGCGATCCGAAATCTCAAAGCACAAAAAGGCAAAGACTAAAATTTACGCGAAAATTTACGCAACCATTTACGCAGAAAAAGGCTGGCTGAACCGTTCTGAACCGTTCAGGGGACACATTTTGAGCATGGAGGTCCGTCCGCAGAACTTGCGTGCACATGTGACAGCATTTTTCCGGCCTTTGCTCAACTGGGTTTCTGGAATCGGTTCTTGGATTCCCTGGGTCTTGCGGACAAACGAGGCGAAGCCGCGGCAAAGAGAAAACAACAAAAAACAACGCGCGACAGTACCACAACGCGGCAAGCAAAGCTGCAAGAAGGCAAGGCTTAAGATCGTCCTTTGCAACTCCTGACTGGTTTGGATCAGCGGCCACGCGGAGACAACCTCGTAGAGTCGTGTGTGCATGTGTGTTTGTGTGTGTGGGTGGTGTCTGTGTGTCTGTGCGCCAGGTGCATGTTAGGAATATAGACGTTAATCTTGATGTTCTTCAAGATTGGCCCTCGCAAGGTCGCCCAACAAAAAGCTGACTAAGTCTTGATTGTTGGAAAGAGCCCTCAAAATATTCTTAATGTTGTTCACGCAGCTGACATAACCAATGACCGGACATACCGGACGTTCTTTGACAAGACGCAGTGTTCCTAGTCCTCGGTTCCTACAACATCTCCTTTCTCATGATCACTAAACACAAATTGACATGTATCTTGGTGGGGGTTCTGGCTGCCTATTAGCATGGCAACGCAACCCAAGCGCAAGCATGGGCGCACACGTTTTTGCGTCCGGCGAGCAAAAACTGTGGCTCGCAGCTACCAGTACGCATGAACATTCATGTCAAAGTTGTCGCGGCTCTTCCAATGGTTCATGACTCATGACGCTTTGCCTTCCTTCAGTGATATGAGCAGGTTAAATTCGCGAAGGGGAAGATTCTTGCCAATACACATCCCTGTCCATGAGGGACACTAAGTCCAGCTCACGCAGGGTCACTCAAGATCGGGCAAGCGAAAATGAATTACAACTAATTTACCTCACTATTTACCATATTATTTACGGACTCTTCCTGTTAAGGGCCAGGCCAACCAGAAAGCTTGATTTATTTACGTGATTGTTTACGCTTTTATTTTCGGGTACGGCGAAAACGACAGACCCCCCTATTTATAGAGGCTAAGTTTTGGTTTAATAAATACATAATTAACAAACAAAATAATGAAAAAAAAGAAAAGAAACATAATCAAAAATAAGAAATAACGATAAAAGCAAAAACAATTCTGATATTTTTGACAATCTCCCTTTGTAAAATCAGCCGCAGCTTTGCTAAGGCCTAACACGGATTGATAAGATCAGCCGCAGCCGTTCAACAGCTCGTGCGGAAAGAACGTGAGCAGTGTTCTAACTTCTCTTGTCTGGCAAGGACAACTCCATGAAGGATTACCCTTTTTGCCATAACAATGATAAATATTCCCTTCATAGGGAATATCTTGTGTTGTGTCCAGCTTATGATACTTCAAAATATAACCAGGCATTTAGAACCATGCCCAAATGGCTGAGATCACCTGCCGCAGCTTTGCTGGGGGTTGCAAGAACGACAATCAAAGATCGCTGAAACAGCCGCTGCAAATTTGCCGGAGCTCGCCGTGCAATCGCCAGTTTTTCCATGTCACACTTACGGTGCTTGAAGTCACAGTCGTAGCTGTGACTATGCTGGTTCTAGATGTGAGGGAGGTTGTGAATGTGCGTCCTGGGCAAAGCAGGAAGTCCGTCTCATTAACAGGGCATGCTGTGGCCGTAGTTCCGAAGCCGAACCCGCATCTTGCTTCAAGATCGGCAGCGCCGGCAGAGCAACGTCCAAGCCAACGGAAGTCGACCCAGGCCAGCACAATGAGGCCAGTTTGGCACAGCCGTATCCTCGTAGCACAGCACGGCAGAATCATTATCCAGCGATGTCCTGAGAGGTGCCGAAGAACACGTTGCCTTCACCGTAGAAAATCATAGATAAGCAGCGCAAAGGATTGGGTGTCCAAGCAAAGAAGCACCTCACCTTGCGCACGTGCCGGTCGAGCATGTCGATCCTCGCAAGCTTCTGCAATGGCTGGACAGTAACAAAAGACGAACCCTTGGCAATGCTTGTCAATGCCACAGTGACATCGTCATTTTGATGCCAAAAGACTGTCACTGTCACATCTCCTTCGAAAACACTAGTGATTTTGTCCTGTCGATGGTTTCTACGTGGCGCATCAGTGTCCACATTCGCAAAGTTCACCTGGCCTCGGCCCTGCAGCTCTGCGCCCGCCCGGGATCCAACCACCGCCAGGACGCGCAGCAAAGCCTGCAGAGTGGTAGGTCCGTTCAGGAAAGCGGTGAGTGCGTCAGGATTGGGACTCGGGACCCTTGAAATCGGTTCAGACTCTCCCGAAAGGGCAAGCAGCCAACCAAGAACCTGTGGCACGTGCAACTTGCTTCTTGGCAGCTGGTTGCAGCCCCAACTCGCCCAACTGATGCCTACAAAGCAGTGAGATCTGTCGAGCCTGGCTCGATCCACCTTGCAAACTTCACCTTTTTGGGCTTGCTCCGGCACTGAGTGGCCGCGTGTGCAAAAAGAACGCATTGCACAATTACGAGTCGAAGGTCACAAATGCGCCTGACCTTGCAGCCCAAGCAAAACCTAAATGAGGATGCCTCAAGGGTGGTTTGTCTGGTTGGCCTTTTTCTCGAGCGGATTCCCTGGCCGGGTCCAAATTTTTTTCCCCCCTCCTTGGCGAGGGAGCTGACCCACAGCCTGCCAATGGGATAACTTTTGAAGCCAAGCCAAGCTCCGCATGCGTGTCCCCCTTTTGAAACTGTTTAGCCTCTTTGTGCGGTTCAAAGGGAAACGCAAGGGAACTCCTGGAAACGACTACGAGTCTTTTTCTCTGTTCAGAAACATCTCTGGCGCACTGTAGCAAACCAGAGGTCACTTCGGGCACAAACCGAATAGCACGGCCTTCAGTCCTGAAATGACATCGACAGGCCAAGGCCAACGCCAAGAAAAAATAAACAACTCAACACATAGATAGAACCTGTTAACATGGAACACTCTTCTTTTCAAGCTCTTCTGGCTTCAATCATCTGTTTTTGGCAGGGAAACTAGGTCAGCTACCTCCTGCCCATGGGCCACTGGTAGAACATTGGCCTGCCACGGTAGCGTGCGCTGATTCCAACATAGGTGCACGCAAAGCAGTAACCTGTCGGAAACTAACCTAGGACCCAGGAAGGTACCTGCCGGCGGCTGTTGCTTCGAACTTCAATGCATTAAAAACGGGTGCGGATTTATTTTGGGATTTTTTTTCGTTTTTTTTGGGGATTTTTTTTCGTTTTTCGTCCGGGCCAGCAAAATGTCGTATTTTACAGCATTTTCTCGCGAAATTGACGCATTTTACACTAGCTCGTCAACATCCCCAGCATCGTTTTCAACATCCCCCGCATGTCCGACCAACATCCCTAGCATCACCAACAAATCGTGGGTAACAAAATCCAAAAATGTAGCTGGCGGGTTGACGGGGTCAAAACAATAACGCTTCAAACAGGAGGGCATTTCAATCCCAGCAAAAAAAAATACCAAAAAACAATTAAGAAAAACAGAGCGGGGTAGTGATGATTCGAACAGGGGTGCAATTCAAATCTCTGCAAAAAGTCTAAAAAGTAGCGGGGGGGTTGGGGGGGGGCGGCAGCCCCCCCCATGATGTTCGAAGAATTGATGATTCAACTAGGGGTGCAATTATTTAAATCTCTGTAGAAAATCTAAAACGTAGCGGGGGGGTTGGGGGGGGGCGGCAGCCCCCCCATGATGTCGGAAGAAGTGGTGATTCAAGTAGGGGTGCAATGATTCAAGAAAGGGTGTGATAGAATTTAACAGGCAGCGGGAGGGTTGGCGGGGGTGGCTTCCCCTATGATGTTCGAAGAAATGCATACATACAGACATACACGGACTACACAGATTACCTAAAAAGTCGTATTTTGCAGCATTTTCTCGCGAAATTGGACGCTCGAAAAAGTGATGATTCAAACAGGGTGCAATTCAATCTCTGCCGGGCCAGTAAAGTGTCGTATTTTACAGCATGTTCTCGCGAAATATACCCGCATGTCCCACCAACATCCCTAGCATCACCAACAAATCGTGTGACGGGGTCAAAGAAATGATGATTCAAGTAGGAGGCCATGTCAATCCCTGTAAAAAATACATAAAAAGTAGCGGGGGGGTTGGGGGGGGGCGGCAGCCCCCCCCACGATGTTGTTTGCAGAAGTGATGATTTGAATAGGGGTGCAATTAAATCTCTGCAAAAAGTCTAAAAAGTAGCGGGGGGGTTGGGAGGGGCGGCAGCCCCCCCCCATGATGTTCGAAGAATTGATGATTCAACTAGGGGTGCATCTCTGTAGAAAATCTAAACGTAGCGGGGGGGTTGGGGGGGGCGGCAGCCCCCCCCATGATGTCGGAAGAAGTGGTGATTCAAGCAGGGGTGCAATGATTCAAGAAAGGGTGTGATAGAATTTACAAGGCAGCGGGAGGGTTGGCGGGGGTGGCTTCCCCTATGATGTTCGAAGAAATGCATACATACAAACATACACGGACTACACAGATTACCTAAAAAGTCGTATTTTGCAGCATTTTCTCGCGAAATTGGACGCTCGAAAAAGTGATGATTCAAACAGGGGTGCAATTCAATCTCTGCCGGGCCAGTAAAGTGTCGTATTTTACAGCATGTTCTCGCGAAATATATCCGCATGTCCCACCAACATCCCTAGCATCACCAACAAATCGTGTGACGGGGTCAAAGAAATGATGATTCAAGTAGGAGGCCATGTCAATCCCTGTAAAAAATACATAAAAAGTAGCGGGGGGGTTGGTCGGGGGGCGGCAGCCCCCCCCACGATGTTGCTTGCAGAAGCGATGATTTGAATAGGGGTGCAATTAAATCTCTGCAAAAAGTCTAAAAAGTAGCGGGGGGGTTAAGGCCGCCCCCCCATGATGGTCGAAGAATTGATGATTCAACTAGGGGTGCAACCCCCCCATGATGTTCGAAGAATTGATGATTCAAGTAGGGGTGCAACTAATTAAATCTCTGCAGAAAATCTAAAACGTAGCGTAGCGGGGGGGTTGGGGGGGGCGGCAGCCCCCCCCATGATGTCGGAAAAAAGCCACCTGCCGAAGAGGAACTGGGAATGCAGAGGATGCGAAAAGCCAAAAAGCCACCAAAAGCCGCATAAACCAGCAAAAAGCCGAAAAGCCTAGAAGCCCAGAAGCCGAGAAGCCAAGAAGCCGAAAAGCCAAGAAGCCAAGAAGCCAAGAAGCCAAGAAGCCAAAAGCCAGCCAAGAAGCCCAGAAGCCGAGAAGCCGAGAAGCCAAGAAGCCAAGAAGCCGAGAAGCCAAGAAGCCAAGAAGCCGAGAAGCCAAGAAGCCAAGAAGCCAAGAAGCCAAGAAGCCAAGAAGCCAAGAAGCCAAAAGCGAAGAAGCCAAAAGCGAAAAAAATTCCCAAAAAAAAAACGAAAAAACATCCTAAAATAAATACCCCTCCATTAAAAACAAACAGTAGACGGCCTCCGGCAGATAAGCACTCTGCCCAAGTTCTGAACAAAAGACCCCTATGTGGATCATGAAAGCCTCGGGCCTCCAGCAAAGAATGGCACTGCGTTGCGAAGCTGTGCACTGCAAGGCATTGTGCATCTCTGCTTGGAGAAATCTTGGAGAGCTCTCCAGCGTGCTTTCGCTAATTCGTAATTTATATCAGTACCCGGCTTTTCTGCCTACCTGTCAAAATCGCAGGCAACGAGAAGTATTTGTTGCATGGCCTTGCGTATTTGGCCGCAACGCCCATGCCGCTGCGTGATGCCACGCAGCAATGCAGAAAGACAGTAGGGAACCGCTCTTCTGCCTCCACCTGTGCATTGAGGCAAACATTTTGTAAACCCAACAGCAGAGTCAATCCCAAACTAGTTTTTCGACAGACCCCCTGCAAACGACCATGGAATTCAGAAACTACAAGCTTTGAAAGGAACCTCCTTGTGGAAGACCCCCCTGTCCGCAAAAAGGTCATAGCCTTCTCATGTCTAGGTGGGCCAAAGAAAACACACCGCCCAGGTCTCATGACAGGGGGGTGGATCAATCCGAGATAAGTAGGGAGTGGATCTCGCTTGAGCAGTCCACTCTTCAGTGGACTTGGCCAAGCCCTTCACACGCCGCATAGTAGCCATTTAGAAGCATCACCGTCATTGATTCGCCGCGAGTACACGTCGCAGACAATACGTTCTACCTCAGAACCGCAACATCAGGCCAACAGGCGCGGGAAAACTGGAAGGCTCAAGGCACCTGAAATTAGGAGCGCCGTTGGCAGTTTCTTTCCGTCTCCACTGCCGTATGTCTGTGCCGAGCTGCATGAGTGAAGCTCAAGGATGACCTATCAACCTTGTAGGACAAGCTCCGGTTGCCTCCGCGTCCACTGCCTTCAACTGGTCCTCTTCGTGTAGGACACGTCTAGGCGCTGCGAGACCTCACGTAATCGTCACGTGAATCGATGTCACAAACCAAGCGGTGTGCTCTAGGGGCCCTAAGTATCCGTGTGGCAGGTTTAAGGGGCTCAGGCTTGGTTTGAGGGTTAAGGGCGGAGTTGGAGGCTTCAGCAAGAGGGCATTCTCCTTAAATGTGGCTTGAGGTTTGTCAAGTCCTAGGGTTTGGGGCGTGGTTGAGAGTTTGCAGTTCGATTTTTTGCGGCTGGTTTTGAGATTTGAGGTTCGGTTCAGGGCTTAAGTCTGGAGTTTTGGCTTAGGGTTTGGGTTCGGTTTTGAGAGCCGCAGGAAAACATGCAAAATGGGCATAGTAGTGGCAGACTCTCAGGAAGTTGCAAATACTTAAGCTGGAACAACAGGAAGCATGCAAATTATGTCGCGTGCCCAGGGGCAGGGCAAAGCCGTGAAAACTTTCAACTTGCACATCAAAGGTCGAACATGACCTCCACCGCTAAACCCCTGCCAGCAAGCAAAAGAACTACATCCGGCATGCCTGGTGCCTTAATCACTTTCAAACAACAACTTGCGGCCAACGGCTCGTTTTCTTTTGGTTGATTCAGGAAAAAACCTGAGCAAGAAAGCTTTATGATGGGTAAGCTCGTTTGCCCCCTCGTTCGGCAACCGCAAATGGATCGCATCTCCGATCGCGCCTACCAGAGTGGTGGCCAACTTCTGCTGCAACTTCCAGTTTGGAGGCTCGATGCCGAGGGCGTCCAACTGCTTGCTGAACTGGTATCCTGTGCTTGGGATTGCTCTAGTGGCTTCTCATGTGCAAGGAAGGTGTTGCGA